GTTCCATCAGCCTATGGGATTGGTAGTTTGGGCCAGTCACACTCTCTCGGCCCCAGAGCAAGGCAAAGGCAAACTCACTCTGAACAAATCTTGCCAAGGAAACCCTGTGATAGGTTTGCCTTATAGAGTTGCCATAAGTTGGAAGGCACAACACAACAACAAAGTCTGACAGCTTTCTGGCAGGTAATTCTAAACACCTGACAAATAATAGAAATCCCAAGCTTTTTATTCTTTTCAAGTGAAGGTTTAACGTGGCTTTAATATTGCAAATACCGGTAGTTTAATCCCAATGCAATGTTGAGCTTTTATTTGTCTTAAATAATATTAATGTTTTAATTTATGTGCTGCCTTCAGTCTCAGGGTGCATCTACACTATAATAATAATAATAATAATAATAATAATAATAATAATAATAATAATAATAATGATGATGATGATGATCATCCCACCCCCTGAGATTAATCTATAGAAATAATGCAGTTTGGTGCCACTTTAAGTACTGTAGCTCCATCCTATAGAGTCCTGGGATGTGTAGTTTTACACACTCTTTAGCCACCTCTGTCCAGGATTCGATTTCCAGCCCAGCCATGGAAACCCACTGGGTGACCTTGGGCAAGTCACACACTCTCAGCCTCAAGGGAAGGCAATGGCAACCCTCTTCTGAACAAATTTTGTCAAGAAAACCCCAGGATAAATGTATCTTAGGGTCACTTGAAGGCACACAACAACAAGCCCAAGCATCCCGGTGCTCCATCAAACTACAAATCCCAGGATCCTATAGCATGGAGCCATAGAAGTTAAAGTGGTGTCAAACTGCATTATTTCTACAGTGTAGATGCACCCTGAGATTTAGGGAAACTGCAGGGTATAAATAAAATGAGCAACTTTATAAGAACAGCAAACAGTGCTCGCATCCCATGAAGCCACTATGGCACACAAGGGATGATGCCAGGGTGACCAGATGTCCTAACAGCAAAAGAAGGACATTCAAGAAAAATGTTGGTCCTTACCAAAGAAAAGCTAAAAACACTCATAGAAATGTAACTTCGTGCTTCTCAGTCATGCTCACATTGGAGGACATTTGGAAATTCCTCATTGGCAAAGGTTGAAATGTAGGGCATGTTCTGGAAAAGGAGCCAGGATAGGGGACGCCTGGCTTAACAAGACTCCGTGTGAAAGGGATCTGGGAGTCCTAGTACACCACAAGTTGAACATGAGCCAAGAGTGTGATGCAGCAGCTGAAAAGGCCAATGCGATTTTAGGCTGCATCAATAGAAGTATAGTGTCTACTAGATCAAGGGAAGTCATAGTCCCACTCTATTCTGCTTTGGTCCGGCCTCACCTGGAATAACACTGTGTCCAGTTCTGGGCACCACAATTCAAAAAGGATGTGGAGAGACTGGAGCGTGTCCAAAGGAGGGCAACTAAAATGGTGAAGGGTCTGGAAACCATAAAGCCCTATGAGGAGAGACTTAGGGAGCTGGGGATGTTTAGCCTGGAGAAGAGAAGGCTGAGAGGTGATATGATAGCCGTGTTTAAATATTTGAAGGGATGTCATTTTGAGCTTGTTTTCTGCTGCTCCAGAGAACAGGACCCTGAACAAGGGATGCAAACTACGTCCGTTCCACCTCAACATTAGGAAGAACTTCCTGACAGTAAGAGCTGCTCAATAATGGAAGATACGTCTACCTCGGAGGGTGATGGGGTCTCCTTCCTTGGAGGTCTTTAAACAGAGGCTGGATGTCCATCTCTCATCAGGGGTGCTTTGATTGAGAGTTCCTGCATGGCAGAAGAAGGGGTTGGACTGGATGGCCCTTGGGGATCTCTTCCAACTGCAGGATTATATGATTCTAGGATGTCTGGAAGTTTTTGTGCACCCAATGCCAGCCAGCCTCTCAGAGCAAGGATGGTGGGAGATGGGAAACCTCATTCCCAGGTTTGGTTATGGCACCCATGAGAAGACGCTCCATCAACTCTTCCCTGGGAGGACAACGAAGGGCAGAGGGTTTCCGAAAGGAGGTCCTCCTCGTCCACCCCCTGGCATCCCCCCCCCATCTCTGGGCCTGGTGGCCTGTCCAAGGGAGATAGGGTGGCCCTGCCCTCCTGGCGGCAACCATGCAAAGGGAGCGGCTCCCAAGCAGATCCTGCTGGGCTTTGGAGTTCATGGCAAGAAAGGGAGGACAGATAAGCAGGCAGGGGAGAAGCCAGGGTTTTGTTTTGTTTTGGTTTTTTTGGGGGGAGACCTAGACGTAGGCCGAGATGGAGTGACCTCCTGACCCTCTTGTGGCCACCCCCTTCCCACGGCACCTGCCATGCGTGCCACGCTGCAGGCCACCTGGGCACATCTGGAGATGCAACATTTGCACCAAGGGCCTGAATCCTTCTCCTTTCTTGCCAGATGTGGTTATGGTTATAGTTATGGGGTGGTGGTGCTAAGCCGGGGGGACCGGGTGTCCTAAATGGAAAGGAGGACCAGGCGCTGCAAAGTGTAGGCCCTCCAAGGAAAATGGAGGACACAATAAAAGCTAAAAACACGAGTATACATGTAAATTCATGCTTCATAGGAGAGCCACTGTGGCACAGTTGTTTTGAGTGTTGAACTTTGACTCTGGAGACCAGGGTTCGATTCCCAGCTCAGCATGAAGACCATTGGGTGGCAAGTGGCAAGTCACACTCTCTCAGCCTCGGGAAAGTAATGGCAAACCTCCTCTGAACAAATCTTCGAATCATAAAATCCTAGAGTTGGAAGAGACCCCAAGGGCCATCCAGTCCAACCCCCCTTCTGCCATGCAGGAACTCCAAATCAAAGCATCCTCTGTGAGAGATGGCCATCCAGCCTCTGTTTAAAGACCTCCAAAGAAGGAGAGACCACCACATCTGTCTTGCCAAGAGAAACTTGTGAAAGGGTTGCCATAAGTCAGAAAGCACACAGCAGTTTGACACGGCTTTAACTGCCCTGGCTCAATGCAATGCAATGCTGGGGCTTGTAGTTTTGTGAGACATTTAGTCTTCTATGTTGTGCTGCAACTACACCGCACAATTAATGCACTTTGGCACCACTTTTAACTGCCATGGTTCAATGCTATGGAATTTGGGGACTGGTAGTTTTTTTGAGACAGTTGATCTTCTCTGTCAGAGGGCTCTGGTGCAATGACAAACTACAAATCCCAAGGTTTCAGTTAATGGGCTGTCAAACTGCATTAATTCTGCAGTATGGCAGCAGCCAAACATGGCCATGTCTCTGAACCCCTTCTCATGACTCTTTTGAGCATTTTTCTCAGCTTTGGGCCCTCTTCCAAGTGGCTGGGAGGATCTGAACCCCCAAAAGCTCTTGCTGTCAGCATGGATGATGGTTAGGGAGGGCTTTGATGGTGTCTTCCTGCATGGCAGAATGGGGCCAGACTGGATGGCCCCTGGGTTTCTGTCCCAACTGGGGTTCTGGGATTCTTTGAGAAGGGTCACTGCTCGAAACCAAGCCCTATTAGGAGTAGCTTAGGGAGCTGGATAGATTTAG